AAAATGCGATTTAAAAAATGTAAAATTTCATTGGTTTTGTTTGCACGTGGTATGGAAATTTTACAGTTACATATTTATTTTGGAGCAGACAATAATATCCTAATGAAAAAGTAGACATATGTAAGGCAATGTAAACATTATAAAACTGTCAAAATGGACATTATAATAAAAAAATTGCAGTTTAACTTTGAAATAAGGGTATAAAGTGATATTTATGAACTTCTGTGGTTAATTTCTGTTTCATTTGACAGACAAAACATACAAAATGGTATATGGAATTTTCACAAACATACTGTAAATCTTAAAAATATGTCAAAGTGTGATTAAAAAAGTAAAATTTCATCGGTTTTGTTTCCACATGATATGAAAATTTTACAGTTGCATATTCATTTTGGAGCACACAATAGTATAAGGCAAAAAATGACTATAAACCAGACCAGAGTAAATAACGAAATGAATTTGATCGAAAACGAAGAGCGCAGATCAAACCCTTGCAGAAGTTTTATTCACAAACAGCTCTATTCTATCTATCTCTTGGTTAACTCGAGCGTTGTCAGTAGCACCTCTGCATGTATTTTCATAATAGTGTAATATATTTGTGTGGTGCTGAAATGCGGAGAGCCTCCTCACAGCGGGCTGCGAGGGCCGACTCAGCACGGAGCCGCTCTGGTTTAAAAAGGAGGAGAGAGAGGAGACCGCATTAGCAACAGCCATCAGCGCCCACCATCAGATACCAGCTAATATCTCCTCTTCAGCCCGTCATTTATAAACGGCAAATAGCAGTGTACGGGCGCGTCTTAACATTAGCGCTGCACGATTTTGGAATGAAGAATAATACCATGTGTGATTTTTCTGACAAGTACTGTGATTAAATTTGTGATTTGTGCGTGAAAAAGTAGGATTCTGCGTCGACTACTGTATATTACCATACCATACCAACTTTATTTATTTATTTTTTATTAAGGACAACAGACTATAACATTCAACAAAGTACAATAATCGACATTTAACAAATTACAATAATCAACATAAAACAAAACACAAAAACATAAAGCAACACACAGCAAAACAGCACCTAGTCAGGCTGGTGCCACCTAGTGCCTCCTCTCAATTTCATTTCTTTCCAGCGACTAGGTCAGGAATGGGAATACACAAGATGGTTCGCAAAAACCTCAGAAGTGCAAGTTCGGGCACCAGCCAATAAGCGAAGAGCCATATATTCAGTGTTACCAACGATTCCCGAGATCGAGGATTTAAAGCCTGAACAAAGAGAATGTTTGGTGAATTTTATCAAGGGGAAAGACGTTATTGCCCTTCTTACCACAGGACTTGGGAAAAGCTTAATTTACCAGTTAGCCCCGTTAACGGCACATTACATACGTGGTTAAATGATAAAAAGTAGTTGTCTACCATCGAGCGAACGAATTCTAACACTGCGAGGTCAAACGGTTTCTACGAAGTGAAACAACAACGAGAAAAGCCCTCCCCATTCCCCCTGGACCACACACACCTACACAAATCTGCTTGAATAAAACAAAACTAATGTGGTAGTGCAACATAAACACACCGCTACACCCCCTTACATTGATATATTGATATATTTTGGCCAATTTATAATTAAAATTCCTCCTTTTCTCTCTCTTCCTTTTTATTTATTTATTTTTTTAAACCATACCAACCTTACTTATAAAGCAGTTTAAAGATGGCTAAAGTGCCGCATGCAAACATAAAAGAACACAGAACAGCAGTCTCCAAACTTTTTCCTCCTCTGAGCTACTTTTTGTAAAATGAAAAGACCAGAGCGCGACTGATTTTAACAGTCGCCGGAAATTGAGTAAATATAAGAGTCATGGTAAGATGAGATGCAGTTAGATGTCTATAAAACAAAAAACATTATCCTGTTTGTCTGTGCACAAAATTAGGCATTAGAATAATATATTTATGGAAAGAGAGATTGAATCAAACAGATTTTCTGACGTAGAAGGACAATCGCAGTCAAAATCACAATACAACTACTAAAAATCATCGAAAACAGTAAAATACTCAAGTTCATTAACAACAAGAAATGTACATGTCATTTAGGGGTGTGCAAAAACAGTGAAATATCCATATATCATATCGTTTCATGTGATGATACAGTATCGATATCGTGGGCAGCTGTATCCATATATCGTAAAAAGTATTTTTTGGTATATTCTACTAAATTATTTTGTTATAGAGCTAAATTAAGAAAAACGCAGTTACTCAATTGGCAGATAATTTGACTTGTCAAGTTGAATGGACTCAAATAGAGTCAAATGTTCTTAATTTAAGTCATTTTCACTTGCATAGATATTGTTTCTTCCAGTGTAGATCTCAAAATCTGTGTGAAATACTTTTGCTTTTTACTCTTAAAGTGCATTTTTAAACAAGTATTTTAATACTTTAACTTAAGTAGATTTTACTTTTACTGGAGTAATTTTTGCTTTAGTCTCTGTACTTCTACTTAAGTAACAAAAGGGAGTACTTCTTCCACTACTGTGACTACTTAAAATTATTGACGTAGAAGGACAATCGCAGATAAAGTCACAATACAACTACTAAAAAACATCGAAAACAGTAAAATATTCAAGTTCATTAACAACAACAAATGTAGATGTCATTTAGGGGGGTGCAAAAATAGTGAAATATCCATATATTGTGTCGTTTAATGTGATGATCCAGTATCAATATCATGAGCTGCTGTATCGATATATCGCAAAAGTATTTTTTGGTATGTTTTACTAAATTATTTTGTTACAGAGCTACAATTTTGTTGCTTGTTTAGAGGAAGGAAACTCGTTTATGCAACACATTTGACATTTTCACTGTTTTGATGACTAAAAATGGGTGTGTTTAATATTAACTTTGCACAAAAAGTGGTTTAATAAAGACTTTTAGTATCACAGCCATGATTTAGCCTTTATTTTGTATTGAACCATATTGAATCGATTTGAAATATATCGTATTGAATCAAATTGAAAGTGCCTGTGTATTGAAGTATGTATCATAACGTGACCTGTGTATCGAGATGTATCGTATCATGAACTGTGTATCGAAGTATGTATCGTATCATGGCCTGTGTATTGAAGTATGTATCATATCGTGGCCTGTGTATCGAAGTATGTATCGTATCATGAACTGTGTATCGAAGTATGTATCGTATCATGAACTGTGTATCGAAGTATGTATCGTATCATGAACTGTGTATCGAAGTATGTATCGTATCATGAACTGTGTATCGAAGTATGTATCGTATCATGAACCGTGTATCGAAGTATGTATCGTATCATGAACTGTGTATTGAAGTATATATCATGTTGTGGCCTGTGTATCGAAGTATGTATCATATTGTGGCCTGTGTATCGAAGTATGTATCGTATCGTAGCCTGTGTATCGAGGTATATATTGTATCAGAAACTTCTTAATGATACCCAGCCCTAATGTCATTTGATAAAAGGCAGTGAAAAAACAAGACGTTTTCATAAGTGATTTGAAACAAAACTGAAATTCACACACCAACACAAACAAAAGGATTGCAAGTATTTCAGAGTATGTTGTAGACATCTGAATATTCCATGAAAACACAGAGAATTTTCTATCATTTTCATAATTGTAGCCTTTGAAAGTTTGAAAATAGGGCATCTAATTTCAATGTCAGTGTAACTTTCAAATAAGGGTGATATTTCTGAAATTTTGTAGTTAATTTCAGTTTCATTTGACAGACAAAACATACAAAAATCATCATGGTATTTGCACAAACTTACTATATCAAAATGCAATAAAAAAAAGTATAAAATTTTATCAGTTTTGATTTCCACATAATATGATTTTTGTTACATATTAGTTACATATTAATTGTGGAGCAGCCAATAATATCCTAATGAAAACGTAGACATACATAAAGCGATGTAAACAATATAAAACTGCCAGAATGTCAATTTTAAACAAAAACATTGCAGTGTAAGTTTCAAATAAGTGTATAAAAGTGATATTTATGAACTTTTGGGGTTAATTTGACAGACAAAACATACAAAAAACATTATAGTATTTCCACAAACATAGTGTAAATCTTAAAAATATACCAAAATGGGATAAAAAAAAGTAAAATTTCATCAGTTTTGAAAACATACTGTAAATAATAGGGTTAAGCTGTCAATGTTATGTGGAAATAGTCATATAAGCATAAATAATAGATAGGAAAAGTGAAAAGACAGCTCAATATTCCATTTTTGAAGAGTTTAAAAAAATGTTTTACATCCATTATAATAAGATTTTCGCAATACCTGGAAATATTTCTGTTTTAGTCTCCTGTACTCTTACTCTATACATCACCCTAACCGCCTATAAGCTGTAAGAAATCTTGTCCAGACATACATTTACTTATAGCTTTTATCACTGCACTGTCTCATGTTACAAAGCATTGAGATGTAATTGCGCGCTAATTCTCGACACGCAGACTCTCCATTGGCCAAACACACACACACACACACAGACACACACACACACACGCATACACAAAGACCAGACTTCCAGCTCTCTACATAATAAAATCTGCTCAGAATTTGATGTCCAGCAGCCCAGAAGTCAAAGCCTCTGTCGTGTAAACCGCTAATTACGTTTCGGTATTAACGTTTTGTCATTTATTATGGGTGTCCAGTGTATCCATGGCAACTAATATTTGTTTTTTTCAACAAAAAGGTGAAACATTTCAGTAGGGTAATGTTTATAGTTTTAAAAATGCTGAATGTTGCCAAAAAGTGAGTAAAACAGATTAACATTTTAGCTTTAAAGTCTTACAATAAGTGAACAAAATGCAAAATTGAAATTACAGGTACACAAATTAGATCCAAAAACAGCAAAGGAACCATCAGTCACTCTATTTTTTATATGATTGTAAGAAAATCTGAAGTTACACTGACAAATTTTGGATGTTTTGTCGTCCAAATGTGAACTCTCATCTCTTTCTTGTTGTGTTTCAGTATGAAGATCTGGTACACTACTCCGGGGCAGAGGGCATGGCGGTGGGGGGGTACGGGGACGACCTCAGGGGACTGCCTCCACCCCAGTACGGAGCTCCCATCCCAGACTCACTCAAGCACCACAAGGACCAGATCTATGGGTAAGCGAGCACGGGCGAAGGTTTAACAAAGCGATAGACGAGAAAAGTGAAAGTGTAAGTAAAAGTAACGATAGTCATTTGTTGTTTTGGATAGAGTCGATTTTCAGCAAGAAATATTTTTGTGAAGGCTGATGTTTTCTCAGATTTGAAATAAATTTGGAATAAAACACAAAACAAAACTTGTCTAAGCGGAATAATTTGATTCCCATTCAAAAATAAATTTAAAAAATCTAGTCTATTTATGCAAACCGATGCTGAAACCCATTTTTTTTCACTGTAAATTCACAAATGTTCATGAAATTACAAAGATAGTTTCACTTTTAAAAATACAAGAAACATTTTTTTTAATGACTATATCTTAATGGTTTAGTTTTAATTACTACTTAATTAAGAGGTTAGGAATCTTGGTATTAATGAAGTAAGCCTCAATCATTCTTAAACTGTATTTGTACATTATAATTTTTTCTTTGTTCGCACTTTTCTATGGATAAACAGTGGTAGAACGTAACAAAGTAAAAGTATTAAAGTACTGTAATGATTTTAGGTATCTGTACTTCACTTAAGTACATTTTAAGTTGATACATTTACTTTTACTTCACTACATTTGAAAGCAGGTATCTGTACTTTCTACTCCACTACATTTTTGAACTGGACTGAAAAGTACAAGTATTTTTTTATGATAGTTTGAGACCTGCTGAAAAGACCGATGGTTTATTTTTAGGACACTGAGTAAGCAAAAAAATACAAAAAAAAAAAAAAACAACTAGAAAAAAACTTGATTCAATGGTTTTTGTTGAACCAAATTCAGAACAAACCTGTATCAAAATCTATTCATTTGAAACATTATTACACTGCAAAAAACAAAATCTAGTCAAGTTCAGATGACTTGAATTAAGAAAGTTTGATCATGATCTGAGTAAATTTCACTTGAAAAGTAAAATGATCTGCCAGTGGAATAAGACGTTTTGTACTTAAAAAATAAAAGTACATCTTGCTACACTTAAAATAAGAAAACAAACAACTTTTTGCACTTAAAATAAAAAAACAAAATGGAATGTTGCTTGAATTAAGAAAAACACACTTACTCAGCTGGCAGATAATTTGACGTGTCAAGTTGAATCGACTCAAAGTAAAATGTTTTAAATTTAAGTCATTTTAACTTGCGTAGATATTGTTTTTTCCAGTGTAGATCTCAAAATCTGTGTGAAATACTTTTACTTTTTACTCTTACAGCACATTTTTAAACAAGTACTACTTACTAATACTTTAACTTAGATTTCACTTTTACTGGAGTAATTTTTGATCTAGTATCTGGACTTCTACTTAAGTAACAAAACAGAGAACTTCTTCCACCACTGTGACTACTTAAAATTAGAAAGTTGTTTTCTGAAATTCTCCTTTGCCATGAATCATACCTGGACGACTAAAGAATTTCACAAACCTCTTTCTGAAATGCAGTAAAAGTACTCCTAACCTACCTTAAAACATATACACAAACATCGCAGATTTAAAGTCCTTAATTACAATAAACCCCCTGCTAATGATTTCTTGATGCAGTTCTGAAATGTGCCTAAGCCTCGTGTGTGTTGTCAGATTGTCTTACACTTGTATTTGAACACTGTGAATGCTGCTCTATGTCAGAAATGTGCAGTTGTCCGCACTAAAGTTACTGTCTGAAAGTTTATCCCTCGTGCTCTCTGTCAACTGCCAGCCTGTTTATGTCAGCTATGTTAACTGCTTCTATATGAGTGCGACTACAACACGCAGCACGGCTTTGCTCTTTACTAATACACTTGAAATCAAATCTATTTTTTATACATTTTTATAATTTATAGACCAGATTTTCACAAGTAGTTTTAAACAAGCGAACCTTCTCGACGTATACATATGACCACGTATATTTTTATGCTTTTATTGTGATGTGTGAGCTTCTGGGTCCAAATAATTTCCCTTTTGCATCAATAAAGTTTGTCTAAGTCTAAGTACTGGCAGTTTTTTAATGATATTTGGACATTTAAGCTGTAATCAAGCAGTATCTTTATAGCATTTGGTTTAATTCTGCCCACAAAACCATGCATTATCTTGAGTATTTTGCTTTCAGAGAGCTCTACACAGCTGCCTATGTACCAAAAAATACACAGAAATTCTTTAAAAAAATGCAATTTGAAATGGTGCTGTTATCAAATCATGAAGTCTGTAATAATTTAGTTTTGGGCCTCTGTTGTACTTGTCTCTATAAATGTTCTCAAATGTATATAAAATTCTTGTATTATGTTCAGTTAACACTTCAGTCTTCTCTCAAATGTTAGTGCTCCTATAGTTTTTATAATGTCCACAGAGAACACAATTCTACTTTTTAAACATGTATTGTATCTTTGTCTATTTTAAACCAAAAAATTGCAGTGTAACTTTCAAATAAGGATATAAAAGTGATATTTCTGAACTTTTGTGGTGAATTTCTGTTTCCTTTGACAGACAAAACATACAAAAATCATTAAGGTATTTTCACGAAGTTACTGTAAATATTAAAAATATATCAAAATTCTATTAAAAAAGTTAAATTTCATTGGTTTTGTTTTTTGTTGTTTAATATGGAAATTCTAGCAGCCAATAGTATCCTAATGAAAAAAGTAGGTGATGTAAACAATATGAAACTGCCAAAATGTCCATTTTAAACATAAAAAAATTGCAATGTAACTTTCAAATAAGAGTACAAAAGTGATATTTATGAACATTTGTGGTTAATTTATATTTCATTTGACAGACAAAACATAAAAATCATTATGGTATTTTCACCAATATACTTAAAAATATATCAAAATGCGATAAAAAAGTAAAATTTCATTGGTTTTGTTTAAACATGGAAATTCTACAGTTACATATTTATTTTGGAGCAGCCAATACTGTCCTAATGAAAAAGTAGATATATATAAGACCCTGTAAACAATATAAAACTGTCAAAATGTCCATTTTAAACAAAAAATTGCAGTTTAACTTTCAAATAAGGGTAAAAAAGTGATATTTATGAACTATTTTGGTTAATTGCTGTTTCATTTGAGACAAAACATGCAGAAAACATTATAGTATTTTCGCAAACATACTGTAAATCTTAAAAATACATCAAGATGCAATAAAAAAAAAGTACAATTTCATCAGTTTTGAAAACATACAGTAAATAATAGGGTTAAAAATAAGTATTCTAATGTATTTTAATCTTAAAAAAATATTTTGGAGCAGCCAATAAATAATATCCAAATGAAAAAGTACATATATAAAGCAATGTAAACAATATAAAACTTAACAGAGTCCAAGAAAAAGCACATTTGTATCACATATTTATAAAAAAAAAAGTTGTAAAAATGATAAATGAAATGAATTTGATTGAAAACTAACAGTACTATTTGTGATGTATTTACTGTAACATTTATTTCCCTCAAAAATACACATTATTTTACAACTGCAGTGTATTGAAAAAGTAATAACGATAGTATTTTGGGCACATTAGAGTACTTGAATATATTTTCCTCAGCTATACCGTCTAACTTTGTGTGTGTACGTCTGTGTGTTGTTCGCAGTCACCCGCTGTTCCCACTACTGGCCTTAGTCTTTGAGAAGTGTGAGCTCGCCACCTGCTCGCCCCGTGACTCCGCCTCCTCCCTCTCAGGCTCCTCCCACATGCCCGGAATGACCAATCACAGCGACGTCTGCTCCTCGGAATCCTTCAACGACGACATCGCCGCCTTCGCTAAACAGGTGAGTGACAGCTGAGTCAGCCAATCACAGAACAGAGCAGAGATTTATGGGAGTTCTGAATGTGTTTTTTTTTTTTTTTTTTTTTTTTTTTTTTTTTTATGTAATGGTTGATTTATGTTTTGTAGATTCGCTCCGAGAAGCCGATTTTCTCCTCCAACCCTGAGCTGGATAATCTGGTAAGAAGACTATGAGTCACTATAATTTTATGTGTTTTTTTAAAGCTGCATTGTGTAACTTTTCCGGTGGAGGGTCTGTCAAATGCTTTTCTCCATGAAGATCAGTTGTTTCACAGTATGGCATTAAACCTTAAGATCTTAACAGAGACTAAACCAAACCAAGTTACAGGTCAGATCTGTGGAGAGGCGACCCCGCTCACAGTCAAAATGCCTGTTTTTCTAAGTATTTTTGAGCTGTAAAACCACCTGTAATTGAATAAATGTAAAGTAGAACTGTTTAATGTCATACTGTGGAACATTCTAGACAGATAAATAACATATCCATAGAAACAAACAGGTGATGGATCCCCCAACCAAAAAGTTACACAGTCCACTTTTAATGTTTAGTATGAATTATGAATATGTAATTTTTCTTTTCTTACTAGATGATCCAAGCGATTCAGGTTTTACGATTTCATCTGCTGGAGTTGGAGAAGGTGAGTTCTATATACTTTTTTCAATCTTTTGTTGGTATCACTACACAAAATAAGCAGTAAAAATATTTGAAATCTGTCGTTGATATTTGGAATTTCATTTGAATTAATAAAAGTCTGAAGATGCAGATGTAACAACACTATATATACTGCTATAACTACTGTCTTTGTTTTTTTGTATGAAGGAACCTAACTAGACAACAGAATGATTCACACAGACATTCATAACTTCTATTATCATAATTTGGAAGTTTTCCCATCTAAATTACCATGTATTATTAAACGTTTTCATCTATCTTCTTGTCTAATATTCCATGCCTTTGTGTTTCTTTTGTAGGTCCATGATTTGTGCGATAACTTCTGTCACCGGTACATCACGTGTCTGAAGGGGAAGATGCCCACAGACCTGGTCCTGGACGAGCGAGAGGGGGGCTCCAAGTCTGACATGGAGGACTTTGGAGGCTCCTGTACCAACCTCTCAGATCAGGTCAGTCCCAAGCCCACATAACACAACAGCCCCCGTGGATAGTACAATAATTATAGATTTATTTTTTATAGTCTTGTAATGATGTTATGGAGATTTTTTAAAGGTGCACTATGTAACTTTTTGGCTAGAGGTCCATCACGCCTTAGTTAGTTTCTATGGAGATGTCATTCTTCTGCTTGGATTGTTTCACAATATGACAATAAACAGCTCTACTTTACATTTATTCAATTACAGGTGGTTTTATAGCTCAACAATACCTAGAAAAACAGGCATTCTGACTGTGAGCAGGATCGCCTCTCCACAGATGTGACCTGTAACTGTGTCTGGTTTGGTCTCCATGGAAGATAGAAAGATTTTATACCATACTCTCCATGCAAAAAAGCTTTTGATAGACTATCCATCAGAAAAGTTACACAACGCGCCTTTGAATAAATATCCAGCAAAATCTATCTAAAATCTAAAGAGACCAAACCCTGACTCTCATAAAATAGTTATTTAAAATGTCATCAGCCCTAAATGGAAGCGATATTAAACTTTGTGCAAGATTTTAAAAGCCCAGTAATCAGAAATATTCAGAAAAAATAAAATGTGAAACTTCTCGCTGGCAATCGCAACAGTTTAGTCGACCTACATTTGATCTTATGTTTTCATCTTAAATTACACTGATGGAAATAGCACTGGGTGATAGGATTTATTTTATATATTTTCAAATTGTGCTTATTTTGACAGTGCAACAGTCGCTCAGATGGTCAGAACATTTTTCCACTGATCAGAAGGTTGACGGTTCAAAAAAAAAAAAAAAAAGAAACAGAAAACACACACCAAAATTCTTGCAGAGGTGCAGATGCAAGGAGCAGCGAGATAAAAGTGAAAAAATGAAAGCACACTCAGATGGCCGATGTCCAAAAGTTCCGTCGAAAAAAGCCTTCGTCAGATATTTTTCTTGCTTTGGACCACAGTACACACAGTTAAAAAACAAAAAAAAAAAAAAAAAAACATGATTGGCTGAGCTATCAAATCCACTGACCCACACGTTGGTGGTGTGATTCCGACTCCCACAGATGAATGCTGTTGTTGTGTCCTTGGGCAAGACACTTAACCCACCTCGGCCCTAGTGTCTACGTACACTGGTGTATGAAAGTGCTTTCATACACCAGTGCTAGCTAAAGCGCTAAAATAAAAAAAATTAAAAAATAAAATAAAATAAAAAAAATTGACCATAGTTTTCTTTTGTCATATTGATTTATCAACATACTCTGAACTTGACTGACTGAATTAAAAAGAACAGACCACTGACAATTAGAAATGTGTGAATCTTGATTAAAATTTCACTAATTGCACAACCCTTGACATAAATATATTGTTCCAGATTTAGTTTTAAGTAAAATAGGTTCTGTATTCACCAATATATTAACCGTAAGCCAATCAAAAACATAAAACTACCACCTAAACAGCAAATTCTTCCATATCTCTCACCTTCCCCCACCCGAGTCTCACATTACAAGCCTGTAAAAAACAAAAACACAGTGTTACCTCTGTCGTTTTCATTTGGCGTGTGCCTCTGTCCCTGTAGGGGGCCTCTTGGTTACGCGAACCGGACGAGTGTGCCACGACTCCACTGGGGACCCCGGGCACCTGTGGCCTGCCCTCCCAAAGCACAGGGGACAACGGCAGTGACACAGGTAAACACACACCGCTTATTAAGGACTTAATGTGGGGAAAAACAGTGCTTCTCAAAGTGGGAGGTGGGGACGGATGATGGTACACAAGTGTCTCAGAACCCAGGAGAGTTTTGCAGAAGCTCTGGTTTAGTTGAACTGCAGTTATTTTTCTCTTTCTCAGGTTGGAGTTTCTGAAAACAACCTGAGATAACTTTTCCTTTCCTCCTCTTTGATGGCATTTAATGAAACTTAAAATCTGCTGAAGTTATGTAGAGGTTTCAGAAACAGATTTTAAATGCAAGTATAGTCCCTAGTTTGGTGAAAATTCTCCAGCAAGCTTTACGTAGTTAAAAAAACAACAAAAAAACACTACTTTTGTTTACTTTTCTAAAATGGGCTGTGGTCGTATATTATTAACTTGAATTTACCAATGTGTAAAATAAGTTAAAGGTGTATTGTGTAACTTTTCAGGTTGAGGGTCCACTAGTGCTTTGCCTGTAATGTCCCGCAATATGGTATTAAAATGATATAAGATTCATTTATTCAATTATGGGTGTTTTTGTTGCTAAAAAATACCTTAAAAAACTTCAATTCTTTCTGTGAGTGGGGTCGCCTCTTCACAGATCTGACCTGTAAATTGATCTGGTGGCGTCTCCTGCTTGTTTCTAAGGAGATCGAAAAGTTTAATGCCATCATTTGGAATATTGGAGGAGGTTTAAGGTTTACCCAGTGTAGGACAAGTCTGTAATGAATTTGCATCTTCATAAATGCTAAGTTAAAGTTAAATTTTTTATTGTGTGTTTAGGTGATGGTCTGGACGGAGCGGTGGCCTCTCCGAGCACAGGAGACGACGATGACTCTGACAGAGACCGACGAAACAACAAGAAGAGAGGCATCTTCCCCAAAGTGGCCACAAACATCATGAGAGCTTGGCTTTTCCAGCATCTGTCGGTAAGAAAACTCGTCAAAATCTTATATCCGTTTGTCATTTGTTTGTTATTAGGAAACTATTTCAGCTGTTTTTTGTTTTTACTTTTATTTATAATATTTAAAACAGTTAATAACGCAAAAACATTTAAGATCAGGGGATGGTAATAATAATGAAAATCAAAATAACAAAGTGAGTATCCATTTCTGAGTCACTGAGTTTCCCAATCTTTCATTGTTTGGTAACTGGTGAGCTAAAAAGTAAAAGGAGCTGCTTAGACACTAGTGTTGATGAAGAAGAGGGGATGAAGAGCCTTAGGTGGCTAATGATTTTTCTTCTGCGGTGTAGAAAGGACAGAGGTGGATTGCAAAATGTATTCATAGGTTTCAGCTTCCTGTTATAGGCAGCATTTTGAGGACTTTTTATCATTCAAAAGATAGAATATTTCGCTGTAAATTGTTCATTTTTATTTATTTATTTATTTTTATCATTTTGGGAGCTGAAAAGGCAGAATGATGAAGGGGAGAGAGATTGCATTTATATGAGGAACTTGAGAGAGGACTGGTTTAGGATCAGTGCTAGAAGGAGGTGACTGGAGACAGCATTACAATAATAAATAGGGATGTAACGATATCCAAATCTCTTGATACGATATTTTCACGATATGTATCTCACGGTCCGATATTTATTGCGATATTTTGTAGAGGCTAACAAAACTTTTTCCACTGAAATTGCTTAAAAATAAGATTTAAAAGTGCTTAGAACAGTTATTTCTAAATCACTGAATCAGAGCAAAGGATCATGGTCTATGTAGTTCCTTCAGTTTTTTTAACTGTTGCTGCACCATAACTATTCATTTAAGCAAAGAAACTTGTAATTCGATATATTGTGATGGCCCACGATATTATTGTGAGAACTTTGACGATACAATATCACGATATTTTGGTTATTGTTACATCCCTAATAATAAACACAGTACATAGATCAAACATGTCCAACTTAGACTTTGGTTTTGACCTGTTTTGACCTAGTTTACCTGCTGTTTTAGTCTAGGTTTAGTCTTGAAATAAATTCATTATTTAAAGGTGCACAAGGTAAGTTTTTGTTTGGGGGTCCGTCACCTGCTTGTTTCTATGGATATGTCATTGCTCTGCCTGGAATATTCCACAGTATGACATTAAACAGTTCTACCTTATCTTTATTCAATTACAGGTGAATTTCTAGCTCAAACCTACCTAAAAAATACACATTCTGACTGTGAGCGGGGTCGCCTTTCCACAGATCTGACCTGTAACTTGGTCTGGTTTGGTCTCCATGAAGATAGAAAGGTTTAATACTAGGGATGTAACGATATCCAAATCTCTTGGTACGATATTATCATGATAGTCATCTCAAGGTACGATATTTATGGAGGACACTTTTTTTGCTTTTAAAACACCTTGACAAGATTTTGGTGCAAAGTATTACTGTCGGAATCCCAAGAATTCAAGTAAAAAACATATTTCTTCATATTGTCTGCGCTGAAATGAATCATGGGATATGTAGTTCCAAATGTTTATTAGCTGTTCCTACTAAAGAACAATCCATTTAAGCAAAGGAACTTAATGTGACAGCTCTCGATATTATTTTGAGAATTCTGACGATACGATATCATAATATTTCAGTTATTGTTACATCCCTATTTAATGCCATACTGTGAAACATTCCAGACAAAGCAATAACATCTCCAAGAAGAAAAGCATTTGACGGACACTCCACTAGAAAAGTTACACAATGCACCTTTAAGTATCAGATTTAATTTAATAGTGACAGGCAAACGACAGCAGGGGACTAATGCACTAATTATGATCAATCGCAAATATAATAGGCCGGAATAGTTATCAATTATAAACTCTGTCTCGTAAAAACTTAAGTGCTCTCCTTTATTTCCACACAAAGCTCAATAAAATATATTTTTGCAATAATTAACACTTGGTCCAAACAATGAAACCTTGTGCAGAGCAGCGTAAAATGGAGTAATGAGTTGAATAGGCTTTAGTGCAAGGCCAAACCCCATTGACTATAACAGGCAGAGAGAGGGCCCTGGGTTTATAATGGAGGTCAATTAAATTAAATGGGAAATAGTGGGATTAAGCGATGATATGAATATGTTGAGTATTGAGGAAGTGGCGGCGATGGACGGAGTAATTGTGGGTGCGGTGATTAGATCGGTAATTAGCGATGAAATGAGGCAGGTCAAATGTTTCTGCACTGCAATAATTACAATATGAGTGTGGGAACTGGCAGGGTGCAGGCTCAGAGCAGGGGATGGGGAGCTTTTCAATTCATAAAGCAATCAGTATTCACTTTTTGGAGTCCACAAACAAAATCATTGGTAATTTGGGCTGGGGTGTTGGCGATATTGGTAGAACTGAGTATCGAAATCAAGGGTGTCCAAACTAACTTGCTGCTGAATTGGCCCAAATGATCATGGATAGGCAGTACTTTTTACTTCATATTCAAGTATCTCTGTCACTGCAGCCTCAATAACATCTCATTGCATTGTAATACAGGCCTACATTATTTTATTAAAGGTGCTGTAGCTCTGTCGAACGTATAAAATGCATCTATCGGAAAATTTTACTCTATTGACCACCTGTCAGCGGCCCTCCACTACCAATATGTTTCTCGGCACAGTTATGTGAAAAAATTATCCTTGGATGATGGAAAATTATGCTGCAACTCTTACAATTTTTTCCAGTTCTTTTTTGCAAATATTTAAAGCAGTTCTATTGCATATTTCCGACAACGTCACCTCTCATTCTCTCATGTTTTCTAACGTGTAAGTCAGTGGATTTGTTTGTGTTATTAAGTCATTTTAGATGAATATTATGATTTAAAACATCCAAATTATAACAAGGGCCTGACCGATATATTGGTGGTTATTATTGGCCGATATGGGCACTTGGAGACATATCGGCTATCGGCCTAAATCGTGCCGATATGGGCTGATAGTCCACGTGGGCGTATTATACCTTGTTATGAAGCTTAGACGCTCTATATTATATCCATTTAATCCAATTTGCAGACAGATACATGTACTAATATGTGGCGCCTCATCAATATTTATCTGCAGAGTAATTTGTCTGTGTGCGTGATGCCGTACTGCCCCTGTGCGCTTGTTTACAAGATCCATGTGCTCAACACTGAGGCGCTGCTTTAAGTGCTCTTGTGTCTGATCCACAATACTGACTGACTATAAATAAATTAACTTCAGCGCAGTTTAGGCCAGCAACAAAATTACTGCTTGTTTTTATCAAATTTATTTGTGAAGACTTGTGATCTGAGAGGTGCCTGTATGAGTGATGAGTGTTTTGGTTCTTTCTCATTGGTTAGCGTTTATCTGCTGTAGCTACCACATAAACAGCCTGTTTTCTCTGACACCGGCCTAGTGTAAAGTGACCATAGTGGCTGTATATATGTTTTTGGACCTGCATTCATATTTAATGAGCTATGAACAGAGGTGTGAATGATCAGCATTTACGCATATCATTAATTACCGTGGCATGCACACATTTACCGGCTAATAGCGGAAGTTTACTTACTTGAATGTGATGCAAAAATGCCATTAGGTCGACCTTTAAATATGACATAAAGAGGCAAAATAACAGTAAATGTAAACAAATCCAATTTAAAATCCACTTATAATCACTTGAAGATTTACAGTGAATTTTTACATCACAAAACATATCAGCTTTTATATCGGCTATCGGCATCTTCAACTCCCATTTTATCAGTATCATATTGGTGGCAAAAAAATCCATATCGGTCAGGCCCTAATTATAACATAATGTCCTGCCGGTGTTGTAGTTTATATCTATATAGCGGACATAAGCAAGTGCATTGTAAGCATGATAAAAATGGTAATGTGTTATTTATATGTATGTGCTATGTGTTCACCATTTTAACCTCTATATGAGAAATAATTTTTTGCAATAACCAAGAGCAAATTGGCTTAATTTAATAGTAATTTCTAGGAGTGGTAAGATCTCATGCTGCACGATCTCGCGAGACAAAATTGCCACAAGATTGTGCACAAAAGAGAAAAATGAGCGAGATTTTTTGGATGTGTTTACATTTGGATGGGACAAAAATGGGTTACATGTTGTTGAGTTGCATCTCTTACAGTTCCAAAAAGCACTATTGGAATGGAAACAAAACTATGAAATCACATAAAGTAAAAATTGTGAGGCAAAATTGGAAATTGAATCATAAAATTTATATATTAGGAATTATGTTAAAATCTCATCTTGTCTCATTCTTGTGGACCAAATCTCGTATCTCGTCTCGACCTGAGGAAATGGTGTCTTGTCTTGAAAAAAAAAACAGCAAATTTTCTTTCAAATCCACAGACATACACACACAAAAGAGCTGTGTAAGTGAACATGTTGTATTCTTGTTTTCCAGCACCCTTATCCCTCAGAGGAGCAGAAGAAGCAGCTCTCCCAGGACACGGGGCTGACCATCCTACAGGTCAACAACTGGTCAGTACCACCCCCGATCAATAATCAATACACTAATACTCTGCCTTATCAATATTCAGTTAGGGGTCAGGGTAAATGTGATCCATCAACTTTCTAATTAACGCCACGCCACGTCAATACTAAACTGGTACAAGCCACGATCACAAAAATGAACAGCGAGATTATTTTCAATTTGTACAAGGATCTGCCACCTGTTTGTCTCCATGGAAATGTTATTGCTTTGTCTAGAACATTCCACAGTATCAAGCAGGTTACATCACTATGCAACATTACAATTCAGATCTGTGGACAGCGCGCCTATTCGCAGAAGAAATTATTGTATTTTTGAGCAATAGAAACACACGTAAAGAATAAATGCTAGATGGATACAGTATGTTTTAAGTCACCATGAAACATTCCAGGCAAAGCAATCACATCTCCATGGAGACAAGCAGGTAGAGGACCAACTCATGTATCATTCGTTCATTCGTTTTTCAATATAAACCCAAAAATAAGAAAACAAAAAAATAACTGTTTTCTTCATTATTTGTCTCCAAAACCAAAATGAAAAAATGGACAATGGCCGTTTCCTGTTTCCGTGACTTAAACTGCAATGCTGGACTTTTGCACCCCATATGGACTGAACCAGGACTGAAACAGGACTGAACCAGGACTAAACCAGGACTAAACCGTTTTCAGTCCTGGTCTGGTCCCAGTCTCAGTCCCGGTCTGGTCCTGGTCTGGTCTCTGACTCAGTCCCAGTCTCAATCCCGGTCTCAGTCCCAGTCTCAGTCCCGGTCTCAGTCCCGGTCTGGTCCCAGTGTGGTCCCGATCTGGTCCCGGTCTGGTCTCGGTCTCAATCCCAGTCTGGTTCCGGTCTCAGTCCCGGTCTGGTCCTGGTCTGGTCCCGGTCTCAGTCCCGGTCTGGTCCCAGTCTCAGTCCTGGTTTCAGTTCTGGTCTGGTGCCGGTCTCAGTCCTGGTCTGGTCCCAGTGTCAATCCCGGTCTGGTCCCGGTCTGGTCTCGGTCTCAATCCCGGTTTGGTCCCGGTCTGGTCCTGGTCTGGTCCCAGTCTCTGTCCCAGTCTGAGTCCTGGTCTCAGTTCTGCCGGTCTCAGTCCTGGTCTGGTCCCAGTCTCAGTCCCGGTCTCAGTCCTGGTCCTGTTACCGGTCTAATGAAGAGAACAGTTATTTTTTCATTTTCTTATTTTTGGTTTTATATTGAAAAATGAGTTAACGAATGATACACGGATTAGGACCCTCCACCAGAAAAGTTACGCAATGCACCTTTAAGTATCATATAAGATGCAATTTGTAATCTTAAACTCTTAAACGTTTCTACAAGATTATAATCCATTTTACGACAGGACAAAAGGGGGAAGGGTACATTCGTCAGGGTCACAATTTAAAAGAAATCAATTTGCTCTCGGCTCATAAACCAGAATAGCAAATCAATAGCCAATAATCAAATTATCTTAACAGCCAAATGGACTGTTCGTGCTCTTGCTTAAATAGGCAGAAATTATACACCTTCACATAAATCATTTACAAGTCTGCTAATTTATTTCAGTGATCCAATTCAAAGTGAAAAATGTTGTACAAGCCGTAGTATTGCTTTTAAACCTATCCAGGCGAGGTGATGCCAATCAGATTATATGTGGTTTACAGATCTGATCTGTGGAAAGCAGATCTTGCACACTATAAAAATGCTATACAAATTTCTGTAATTGAAGAAATACAAAATAGACAAGTTTAATACTATACTGTGGGGCCAAGCAATAACAACTCCTTGGAGACAACCAAATTCCAGACACCAGAGAAGTTACATAGTGCTCCTTTACGTCTTGGTTTAGTCCGATTTTAGTACTGGTTGTTCAGTTCTAGTTAAGACCTGGTTTTAATCTTGTTTTATTTTAGTTTCTGTTTCATCCTAGCCAGGCTGGCGCCACCTAGTGCCTCCTTTCAATTTCATTTCTCCCCAATGACTAGGTCAGGAATCGGAATACACTAGACGGTTCCCAAAACCCCCGAAGTGCGAGTCCGGGTAGTGGCCCATCAGTGAAGAACCATACATTCTTTGTTGGTGACGATTCCCGAGATTGAGGATTTAAAGCTTGAACAAATGTTTGGTGAATGTTTGGTGAATTTTATCAAGGAGAAAGACATTATTGCCCTTCTTCCTACAGGATATGGCGCATTACATATGTCATGACCAAATAGCAGCGATTGGTTAAATGAAAAAAAGTACCTGCCTACCGTCGAGCAAACAAATTTAACTCTGCAAGGTCAGACGGTTTCTACAAAGTGAAACCGGCTGATGAATCTGACTAGTTTCGTCCTGTATTTGAACTGAAATAATAATCCTTAACCGTCCCACATGACTCAAATTCACCAAAATGTACCTTTACTTTCCTTTACTGTGTTCATTATATTCTGATTTTCAAATAAGTCTCCTCACAGTTTGGTGTAATATCAGCCCAAACCACGCTGTTGCTGTGAGGCGATGCAGATCAGTTAGCAGGGCCGTATTGATCGGCACCGTGGCCCTATAGTGATTTACTCGGGCCCCTCACAGGGTTAAGTGCTTGTAAAAAGGGAAAAGGTTAATAGTCTGCTGCTCAGCCTGGTTCTCCATTATACTGTGGCCTTGTACGCCTCGCTCTCTCTCCCTCTCTTTGTCTCTTTCTCTTTTTCCCACTTTGTCTTTCTCTGTTTATCTTTCTCTCTACCCCTCATCCTCTTTCTTTTTTCCTTTCTCTCTCTCCTTCTCTCTACCCTGCTCCGCTCTTTCTGTCTTTTTCCTTCTCTTTTTCTCTCTTCCTCCCCCTCTCTTTTTTCTTTTTCTCTCTCTTCCTTTCTCTCTCTTTCTCCCCATTTCGTCTCCCTACCACATCTCTTTCCCTCTCTCTTTTTCTCTACCTTCTCCATCATTATCTCTTTCTCTCTCACACGCTCTTTCATCTGTCTATTTCTCACTGTGCTTTTCTTTATGTGTCTGATGCAGGTTCATCAACGCCAGGAGGAGAATAGTGCAGCCCATGATCGACCAATCAAATCGCTCAGGTTGGTGTATGGCCTTTTTATGTCATGGCCAATACGGCATGCAGTTACACTATATACTTACAATATAGGTATACAATACGATCAATTTTTATTTTTACTGTAAATATATTGATACGTTTACTGTGTCAATTAGCTTCAATTTCAAATAGGACTCTAAAATATAATACTCATAATAATTTTTTGAACATTATTTATGTCGTAGGTCAAGGAGGCCCATACAGCCCAGAGGGAGCAGCTCTCGGAGGGTATGGTCTGGACGGACAGGCTCATCTCGGGCTCAGAACAGCAGGTATGTACCCATCTATAATCTTTACCCCATTATAAAGGCATCAGTGTACCCATCTATATCCTTTACTCCATTATAAAGATATGAGTGTACCCAGCTATATCCTTTGTCCCATTATAAAGACATAGGTGTACATGGCTATACCCTTTACCCCATTATAAAGACATAAGTGTACCCAGTCTATACCCTTTACCACATTATAAAGCCTTGAGTGTACCCATTCTCCACCCTTTATCCCATTATAAAGACATCAGTGTACCCAGACTATACCCTTTATCTCATTATAAAGTGCTCAGTGTACCCAGTCTATACCCTTTGCCCCATTATAAAGATATCCATGTACACAGTTTATGCCCTTTACCCCATTATAAAGACATCATTGTACCCTGGCTATACCCTTTACCCATTATAAAGACATAAGTGTACCCAGCTATACCCTTTGTCCCATTATAAAAACATCAGTGTACCCGTCTATACCCTTTACCTCATTATAAAGACATAAGTGTACCCGGCTATACCCTTTACCTCATTATAAAGACATAAGTGTACCCGGCTATACCCTTTGCCCCATTATAAATACATCGATATACCCCGCTATTCCCTTTACCCCATTATAAAACCCTCAGTGTATGCAGTCTATACCCTTTACCCCATTATAAAGACATCCATGTACCCAGCTATTCTCTTTACCCCATTATGGAGGCATCCATGTACCTGGTCTGAACCCTTTAACCCTTTATAAAGCCCTCAATGTAGCCGGTCTATACCCTTTACCCCATTATAGAGACATCAAATATACAGCAGCAGGTCAAACTGCTGGTGAAAGCTGCTTAATGCAGAAAAGGCAAAGTAAGGAGTGCATTAGAGTGGTCACAGCCTGAGCTCCTCTTAAATGTTTAAACAGGCACTTCGACTCTGCTATTTTTGTTTGCTATATTAAACATATTAATGAAAAATTAAGCAATCGCCGTGGTAACAGAGAGGGAACTTTTCAAGCAATACTCAAATCTAGAGCAAAAAGCAGAGTTACATACACAGTCATTATTCGGAAGCGATTCCCGAAACATTAATTTATGTCCTGTGAATGTGACTTTTTAGTATCGATATCAGCTCAAATGTGTATCAAGTTTCTATACTACCTTTAGTATCAATTAGTATCTGATTTTCGATACTTTGACAACCCTACAGTCTTCTAACACTCTCCCTTGTCCCGTCTTGTCCCTCAGGTCTCCAGGGCATGTCCTCTCTTCAAGGCGAATACCCTGGCGCTCTCCTGTCCCAGCCCGGGTACCCCCCTCACCCAGGCCCCTCCCTCCACGCGTACCCCAGCGCCCACCCGCACCCCGCCATGCTCCTGCACCCGCCCCCACATGCCCACCCAGCCGAACCGCTACTGGCACAAGGACTGGACATACATGCACACTAGCTGCAGGCCAGAGTGGGACATATAGACTGATGTATGCCTGAGAATGCACAGACGGACTATGGAAATATATTCTGTGCTTTGCGTGAGTGGAGTATGTGTAACGACGCATACAATATTTAAAGAGAAGAAAATACACAAAGTTTACATTCCCCACTTAAAGACCTCAATGTAGCCTCCCTGCTTCACTGTATGGGCCAGAGCAGTGGTTCTCGAACTGTGGGTACTTCCTGTTCAAATCAGGTTTTAGTACTGTTTTAGTATTGCTTACATTCAAAGGAGTATGTCACCGCTAAGACCTGGTTTGGTCCTGGTTTAGTCCTGGTTCAATCTGGATTTTGACCTCAAATAGACCTAGTTTATGATGGGTTAGTCCAGGAGTAGATATAGGTCAAGATCTGGTTTAGGGTGACTCCAGATCATTTTCCAAGCTTTGATTGGTTTAGTTCTGGTACAGACATGGGTGCCCTTTCACCCATTGACAATAATGCATTTTAAGGCTACGTCCACATGACAACGCTACTGGATTTTTGGTGGGTTGAAAAAAAAAAAAAACGTGTCCACACACCTGTTAGATCAATAAATATTCACGTCCAGACGACAACGGAGCACTGAGTGAAAACGATGTAATACATCTGTCACACCTGTATGTGGTGCTGTAAACAATGATATTTAATAATATATTATTATAATATATTATATTATAAATAATATAATATTTAATAATGCAGATCTCATCACCATTTTTTTTTTTTTTTTTTAAGGTAATTTAGCCTATTTTAGATATATCCCATAAATATAGCCATTTTGTTTTGCAAAAGCTAAACATAAGTTTTCGTTTTTAGCCATAAGATTTGGATGAGAATTATTAGAATAACTTGGTCTCAAAATCCAACAGTTTAATTACTTGTGTGTAATCTTTGTTATTAATCCGTGTGTGTGATTTGTGGTGCATGTTGTTCGCTTTAGCCCTAACAGCGTGTCTCGGTTGCTGGGTGACAGGAGCGGCTTTGTAGGCTACACCTGTCCCATTTTGGCAACGGTCTTGTGGTCCGCGCGGGCTAGTTTGAGGGCTCCAATGGGGTTGTGACAAAGGCCAAAACGAATACAAACTTCTCCGTTTCAACCAAAAAATGTTGTCATGTGGACAGGCCCTAAGTCTATTGTAGTCCTCGCCTTGGAATTAAAAGAGCAATATGTAACATTTATGCTGGAAGATCTGTCACCTGATTGTCTTTATCTAGGATGTTCCACTGGCATTGGCATATCTAACTCCATGGACACGAGGCAAGTGATGTCATCGGACAAAGTTACAAGTCCGATGTGTAGAGAGATGTTTTGAAGTTATTATTTTTGCAATAAAACATGCAAAGAAGATATGTTTAATACCATACACTGGAACATTTTAGGCAAAGCAGCAGCATCGCAATGAAAACAAGCAAGTGGTTGATCCTCCATGAGAAAAGTTGCGCAGTAAACATTTGAGTTAAAGACAATATTGGTGAAACATTTGTTTGGAAATCCCAACATTTCAGGGATGTTACTTGGTCTGAAACCGTTTGAGAACCACTGGTCTGGTCCTGTCCCAGTCTGGACCCACAGGTTTAAGCCATACCTCTTTTACTCTAGAGTCAAGTGCTTCCTCCTCTCCAAATATGTCCACTGTGCCCTGTGGGAGAGACCTATGCTTTAAACTACACTTCCCATCATGCCTCTGGAGATGACCGACCACAGATGGAGTCTTTGCTGGATTTTTGGACCAGACTTGAACCTGTGAACACTTCGCCTTCTTCGCCACTTCCTGTCTTCCTCCACATTTTACTGTCGAAGCTATAAACGTGCATCAACTGCTGTTTGTATTAAGGCGAGACACTACAGGAGAATTTGACAACTTTTTTTTTTACAAATATAAAATTTAAAACAAAAACAGAGAGGAATGTTTTGTACTTTTTGTTTCATTAAATCAGATAAAACAGTAACTTTGAGAAGCACAGTCACAGACATCATTAAAGATGCTGTACCTGATTTAAAAAAAGATCTAAAGTTACTCCTCTCGTTTCATAACTTTTAAAGTTTTGTCATCACGGTAAAGCGAACATTTTTTGCTCAAATACATCGGAAAAAAAAAATCAGGTACAGCGCCTTTACATAGAATTCTTTATCAAGGAGTTTGGTGTTTACAGGCCTAAGCTGACAAAAATGTATCGCAATAAACATTTAAAACATCATCAACTGCCCCCGACCTTTAAAAAAATCTTCCGCAGTGTCTCGCCTTAGATTTTCTTCCATCCGTTTTTCTATATTACTCTGATCACGTCGTGCTCTTCCTTCTAGCATGTGGCTACTCTACACTATGAATGATTTCCAGTCTGCCTCTCTCACTGACCTCCTTAAGATGCCACTGTCGGCGTCCCTCCTCCAAACACATGCAACGTGAGCTAGATAAGCCATTTCAGTTGTTCACGAGCTGTTGGATTCTGTAGCGTTTCTCGTTGTTTTTCGTCCGAGAGAGAGGAGCTGAGTGCAGCCAAAGGACGTGTTCAACTTTCGGCTCCTCTCTGCTCTGTTTAAGACTCCGCTAAAGCATTTCTGAATGATTATTAAGGGAAATACAGTTATGGTTAAAGTATTAAAATGTTTTTTATATAACACCTGTCTCCGTTTGTCACTATCTGCACAATTCACAGTTTTATGATGATTATAAAGCATGCATTTTTAAAAACATGTTTTCTCTTTGCTAAATTAAAGAGTATCAAAGTTGTACTTAAGTAAAAGTACAGTTACATGGTTAAAAACCTACTCAGTTATACAAACAAGTACAGCTGACAAATCTGTAGTTAAATAAAAAGTATGTATGAAAAATATATGCAAATAAGTAGTTACCAGTTACACTTGAATGTCATTTTTTGTAGCATTATAAATCACCCTCTTATTAATTTAACGGTTTAACGATGAAAAAAGTTGTTTAAATTTTAATCCACATATTCTCAAAGCAGAGGCGGCGCTACCATTAGGCAACAGTAGGCAGCTGCCTAGGGCCCCGGACCTGGAGGGGAGGGGCCCCTAACCAATATCTCTCAGTGCCACTAATGGACAAGGACTCAGAGCAATTAAATTTTCTCTCAGTATGACATTAAATGAGAGTAGTTTACTTTTAAACAAGAAAACACCATCAAAATAGTATCTGATTGTCAAATCTATCAAATCTGTCAAAGCATTCCCCCCTTTCACGTTAGAATGGACGAGTCTGCTTGACCCTGATTTGAACATAATCATATGTAATAATGTAAACAAAAATGTAATTGTAATAGCAAAAAAAAAAAAAAAAAAAAAAAAAATAATAATAATAATAATAATAAAAGTACTTTTAGTTCTGGTTTTCCAGTAGGCTCCCTACAGTAACTAATCCAATCTACCCCAATTCAAGTAGAGATATGCATGTCTCAAGAACAATAAAAGAAGATGACATGTTTGTCCAAAAACTTTTTCAGGCAAGTCCTTCTAGCAGCAAAACTTCCAGGACTGAACCAGAACTGAACCAGGACTAAACCAGGACTGAACCAGGACTGAACCAGGACTGAACCAGAACTAAACCAGGACTGAACCAGGACTGAACCAGAACTAAACCAGGACTGAACCAGGACTGAACCAGGACTGAACCAGGACTAAACCAGGACTGAACCAGGACTGAACCAGAACTAAACCAGGACTGAACCAGGACTGAACCAGGACTGAACCAGAACTAAACCAGGACTGAACCAGGACTCAATCAGGACTGAACCAGGACTGAACCAGAACTAAACCAGGACTGAACCAGGACTGAACCAGAACTAAAGCAGGACTAAAGCCGAATTAAAGCAGGACTAAACCAGGTCCGGGACCAGACCGGAACCAGACTGGGACTGAGACCAGGACTGAGACCGGGACCAGACCAGGACTGAAAACGGTTCAGTCCTGGTTTAGTCCTGGTTCAGTCTGTTATCTGTTTTTTCCATTATTCATTTAAACACAACATCGAAAACTGAAAAAATTAATCGTTATCTGTTTTTTTATTTTGGTTTTGGAGACAAATAATGAAGAAAATATTTGTTTTAAAATTTTCTTATTTTTGGTTTTATATTGAAAAAACAACTGAACAAATGACACACAGATTACAAGTGTTATTTTGTTGGCTACAATGACGTCAGTTGCAAAGTATCAATAATGTCAAATCTAACAAATTACAATTATAGCTCAATTACATGTACAAATTTAAAAATCTACAAAAAATGAATCACTTTCCACCGCTTCCTTACAGATTCTACAGCACAAAACATTCTAGGCTTCACTTTCTCTGAGTTGTAGTTGGTGTTGCTGCGTTGCATTGAGTCACTTATTACAGTTTATGTAGCGTTAAGAACATTAAGCTGAATATTTGAAGAAGGGCTGACCTTATGGCACATTAAAAGCCATCGGTTTACTTAATGTTAATGTGAAATGTGCATTAGGGGCCACTGACCTTAAGTAATATGATCAAGTAAGTTTTAATTGAAATGTTTATTGGCTATACCAGAAAACCTTCAATGTTTTAAGTGTAAAATGTTTAAAGAAAAGCAATCTCCAAAGGAATAAAAGTACATTCATTTACACAAGTTTTAGTCGTAGATTCATGCTTTTAATGTACTTTTAAAGTGGTTTGGACGATCAAAGTCGCTGTGAAAGCAACAGTGAGCCAAGTCCAAAATGGGCTGGTAATGAGGATACTAATAAATCAATGACAAAAGTGTTTACTTACTTGTTTACGTTTGCAAATGAACTCTCAAGTTGGTCGATATATGGGTTTCAGCTTCCTGTTTTATAAGCAAGGGTTTCTTTTAAATTGTTTATCACCATGGCAACAGTCCGTTCTCATCATTTTGAAGCCCCATAGCCGAAGCTCGTACGATGTTGCTGAGCACAGAGAATAGAAAGGAATGTGTGTGGAGCTTTACAAAAATTGTTCCCCAAATGTTTTGCTTTTTGCCTGAGATTTTCTTTTAATTTACAGATAATTGACAGAATTTGTAACATTTGTCTTTTACTTTACACAGTTACATTTTTATTTATTATTTACAAAGTAGGTAAACATCCCTGATCCAGCAAAAAGTTATGTTTTTACCAGCTGACTTTTTGCTTTTTGTCCTGCGATTTTTACATTTCCAAACAGTAAACAGCAGTTTGAAACACACCTTGTATGTCTATATTTTTACAAAGTAAATTTCCCTAATCCTACAAAAAGTAATTTATTCCTCAAAACATTTTTGCTCCTCTCCTGAATTTTGTTACATTTCCAAACAGACATAATTTGCAACATTCACCTTGTACTTTACACAGTTTCAAGTTTTATCTTTTCTTTTCACAGCCAAAACTTCTTCAATCCTATAAAAATTTTGTTTTGTTTCATCTGTTTTTTTGTCCTATGATTTTTTTAATTTCCAGATTTGACACATTTGCATCGTACTAACAGAATTTGTGAGATCTTGTACTTTACACTTTCTTTTGTACTTTCATGTTTTATTTTTGTTTTTCATTCACAAAGTAGTCATAATTTCCCCAATCCTACAGGAAAATTTGGTTTTCTTCACCCTTTTTTTTTGTACTGTGATTTTTTAATTTCCAAATTTTCAGCATTTGCCTTTATGTAAATTTCAAAACAGACAGAATTTGCTTTATAGTTTCATGTCTTATTTATTTTTTTCTTTTCACAAAGTATAAACTTACCTAATAGCACAGAATTTTTTTTATCAATTTTTTTTGTCCAGTGATTTTTTTTATTTCCAAATTTGCATAATTTTCCTTGTAGTTAAATTTCAAAACAAACAGACAACAGTTTGCAACATTTTCCTTATACTTAACAATTTAATTAATTTTTTTCATTCACAAAGTAGCCAAAACTTCCCTAATCCTACAGAAATTTAGTTTTTTTCACTCAATATTTTTTGTCCAATGATTTTTTAATTGCCAGATTTGTAACCCATTTCCTTGTTCTTCACCCAATTTCATGTTTTATTTATTTTTCCTTCCACAAAGTAGCCAAAACTCCCCTAATCCTACACAAACTCGTGCTTAAAGTCAGTGGGAGCTTAAGTATTAGAGGCCCATGTGCGCTCGGGACAAAGAGAAATGAAAAGTGTGGTGATGCGGGGTCAGGCCACAGTCCCAGGGAGAAAAGCCATATCCTGTTGACCTCCGTGCGAACTCTGCCCTCTGACCCCTGGAGCTCGGGGTCAGCAGGGGGCAGGAGAAGGGCCCAGGGGGGGTATTTAGGCTCTTACCAGGGCATGTTGTTGATGTGGGATTAGGACGGAGCAGATAACACCGCTAAAAGGTTAAGGAGAAGGAAAGCAGATCAGCCAAAG